TCGAGCCTCACAGCAGCTCTTACTTCAAAGTCGCGGATGCCGTTGATGAATGTCTGCACCAGGTTCCCTACAATAGCGCAGGTACAGACTGGTATGCTTTCCGAACCAGCTTCTCCACCTCAAGGGCCCACTGCTGCAGGATTTCGTTACTGCGTTACACGCGATCTTTGAGCTGTGCACGAAAGACGTGTTCCAGGTGAGCGTCGCCATATCTCGCCTCCAATGTCTCAAGGAGCTCCTCGTATGTCATTTCCTTACCGAGAGCTTCCAGAACAGATAAGGCCTGGTCACGCAGGCCTAGGGTGAGAGCAGTCATGGCCTGACTTTTATTCCAGCCGTTCGCCTTCATGACAGCCTCGAATTGGATTTTGTAGGCCGACCAGGAAGAAGTGCCGTCGAATGGCGGCACTTTGAATCCACGTAGCGAAGGTGTTGTAGCTACCACGGGAGCTGTAACTCCATTCCCAATTTTGAGGTTGTCCAGCGTTTTCTTCACGTCAACCATCACGTTGTCAACCCGATTGTTCACTTGGTCGATGCGGGTTTCAGCTTCCGACAGGCGGTTGTCATGTTGAGCAACCCTATCCTTCACCTCCCTTATCTCTTTCCCGAAGGTAGCGTGAAGGTCCCTCATGAGAAGAAGCTGCTCTTCCAACCGACGGCCCTGTTCCTCCTGTTGGCGGGCCTGTTCCTCCTGTCCGCGCTGCAGCTGCTCTTCCAACCGACGGGCCTGTTCCTCCTATCCGCGCTGCAGCTGCTCTTCCAACCGACGGCCCTGGTCCTCCTGTCGGCGGGCCTGTTCCTCGTGTCGGCGAGCCTGATCCTGCAACATCATCATCAGAGCACCTAAGTCAGGTGCTGCAGATGCAGGAGCTGCTGACGGGCCAGCCTCCGTGGTCAGCATCTGGCCCTCCGACGTTTGCGACGTTGAATTACCAAATCGTCTCTGGTCCGCCTCCAGCTGGCGTTGACTTCGGGTACGCATACCCTCCATGTCGTCCTTTGGTAAAATTGACATGATTTGATCCCACTTCTGACACCAATTTTTACGAACTTGGGGTTCGAGACAATTAAAAACTGCCGAATTAATTACCAAAATTGACACTTTAATTACACAACACTAATTACAATCTAAAATCACACTAATAATAAAACACAGTTCGCCGTTATTTCGCTTCGAAATATTCTCTTGTATCGCCAATTCAATATTGCCTCCGTCGTGGTGTATGACCGGCCTTATATAGGGCCTCAGATAGTTTCCAGAACCTTCTACTGTAGCGACATCTAGAATGTTCGAGTACATATCGGTCCCGAAATTTCTGGAAGGATCATGACTCTCCTAGTTCTGCTACTCGACACTAGAGGGCGCTAGTGTAACTAGTGTTGCCATGTACAAAACATGGCACAAATCAAAGAAATTTGGCGCAAGCCACAAACAGCGATCACACGTTGGCAGAGTGTTCAGTTCATAGATACGCATCGAAGTAGACTGTAGTGTCGGCTTAATAAAATTGTTTCAACATGGCGACATGGACTAATGAGGAAATATTTATTTATTTATTTAACAGTTTATGTACACACATAATTCGATAGGAAAATGGTAAAAACATAATTATGTACAAAGGCACTGCCTATTCCATGATGAAATTTCTTCCAGCAGGCCTATTGAAGGATAGTTGAAGGAAATAGAGGTAGTTAAAGTGTGCACTTACATAAATAAACATATACAATACAAATATATACACACACACAAACACACACACACACACACACACACACACACACATATATATATATATATATATATATATATATATATATATATATATATATATATATATATATATATATATATATATATATTATATAAAAATATATATAATTCAATATAATATATTTTTAATGTTACTTATATGCATACGCACATTACGATATAATAATTATGGAGTGAAATGTTGATTCATTGTTCATTGATTGATTCTCACAATGAGTCAGTTATATGGAACCCCAAACATGAGCAACATACACAATACATACCATACCAACAAAATAAAACCAGAGTAAGTAACTTGCCTAACTGCATTAAATAATACGTTTAGTTGCGATTTCAGAGTACCTACCTAATGATAAATATTATTATAAATTATCTCTGCGTTTATGTTGCTCAGGGATAATGTAGCTTAGGGGCTTCTTTTGGGCTATCATTTATTTTGAAAAAACCCCAGCAAAGCGGGCACGGATCAGCTAGTAGATCCTATAAAGGTTTCTTTTTTCCTTTTGAGGTCGGAACCCTAAAAAGGACAAACTGGGATTATTGTTGTATGTGTAGTTTTTTTTCGTTCACTCTGAGAAGAGTGAAGCGCTGTATAAGTATATGACAGCGGCCGCGATTACCCTAACGTCCATCATCATCTAGTTACCAACGCAGAACGAAACACACCAACGTGTGAACGGCACCACGAAAATCTGCCGAGTGCGCTCGCCAAGCGCATATATTATCCTCCATTCGGCCAACGTGTACTGGAGCCATAAGATTCTTACATACATAAACATAAACACTCACGCCTGTCACCCAGAGGGGTAGGCACAGATTATGGACTTCCATTTGGCACGATCCTGACACACCTCTCTCGCTTCTTCCACATCCATATACCTACGCATACACGCTCGTCGGTTAAAGGTACTCTTGATTTGGCCCATTTTTAATATATCGCCAATTTGGTCGATAAACTTTCGCCTAGGGCGACCCTTCCCGACTATGCCGTTCTTACTACTAATAAATAATAGTTAAAATAACTAAAAAAATCATGCTTTCGTAGATAATCGAACTAAAATGTAGAATATAATTTTCAATAAGTTTCAAATAAGATAATTTAAAATTTAAAATTTTGTACAACCGACTTCAATATAAAAATAATAACTCAAACCCTACTGGCCAAACCTTGATCAAATTTATATGGGACCACATGTGAAGCACCAGCTTTCAAATAAAATAAGAATCATCGAAATCGGTTCACCCAGAAAAAGGTTATGAGGCAACACAGATAAAAAAACATACAGTCGAATTGATTACTTCCTCCTGTTTGAAGTCGGTAGTAAATAGTGATTATATAACATAAAAAAATCATTTTATTTTAAAATAGCGTGGGGTGCTTTTTCAGATATTGGAACGAAGTTCCTTATCGCACGGTACGAATTTGGCGGCGAGAAAAAGTATAGGTAACATTTTTGCGTCACGAAAACATATTTTTATAACAGTGGTAGAGCCACGCGGCAGCTTTTGCTGTCGCACGGATGGGCCGGCTCGAACCGGGGTAGTACCACGACCTCACAGAAAACCAGCGTGAAGTAGAGGTTTACCTCTGCGTTTCGCTTGGTGAGTGCAGGTGGCCGGAGGCCCTTTTTACTGGAAATGAGGCATTCCATCTTAGTCCTCACGGGTGACAACGCATCTACATTTTGATTTGTAACAGAGGATAGATGTAGATGTCTATGGGCCGCAGCAACCACTTACCATCAGGTGGACTGTGTGCTCGTTTGTCACCCTTATCCTATAAAAAAAAAAAACGAACCCTTTCTATAGTGCGAGCGAGATGGAATAATATCCATTTCCCTCGCACTTTTTCTTATCTTGCCATGAACCTGCATACAACATGAGACAGGTTTAAATTTCAATTCACAGTATAAGGTGTAATTCTTAATAATTATGGTTTGAAATTTTACTAGAACATGAGTCTCTATCTAAGGTAATAGGAGCATATTGCAATATTGATCCAATCAATGTAGTTTTTTTATATATATTTATTTCGTCTTGTCTCAATTTACCTGCAACATGCGGTAAACATAAGACACCTTATAAAAGTCATGGTTTCCCATGTAGAATTTCAATGTTTGTTAATTGAGACGTTAAAAAATAACAAAATATTGAATTTGCGCAAATTAAAACAATAATAAATCAGTTATAACTAGAGGTATTAAATAAAACAAAATATTATCTCCAAATCTTACCAGATCTTTTACTAGTTCTTCAAAAATCAAATAAAAATTATATAAAATCAAAAACTAAAAACAAACTTCTTCATAAATCGTCAAAAAATAAATCAACATAAATCTCGATTTTGAGAGCGACGGTAATTTGAGATCTCAATTTGCCCACATGTCTCAAATTAGCCTTTAACACTAAGTAAATTAATAACATTTGCAACTTATAATAAAATTTAAACATTGAGATCAAAATTGGAGTCTAAGCTATTAGGAACGTTTTATTGCGATACATAGGCTATACCTAGGCATGCCTACGCTTTGAAGTGCGCACAAAAAAATATTATTTTACACAATTTTATTAGTCTTATAATTAAATATTAATATTAAAAATGTATTTTCCCCTTTTCACTTGAGTGGGCTTAATTGTATTTATTATTCGAGAAGTGTCAATTGTCATCATGTCATCCACTGCTGGAAATATGTAAATACCCTTTGTAGCTGAAAAACATCTCATGAAGCGACAGGTCACTTTTCCGTCGCTAACCATGTTCGTAACTTGAGCAATAAACTTCTTTTCAGTTTGTTTTTTCGTATTCTCATTGTAGAGTAATTCGACAACAACGAAAGAATCTGGTGAAATCTCCGAATTATTTACAATTTCTGTATCGATATCTTTAGAGCAACCAGCACCACCATCACTAGGTACAGAAACTTTAAATTGTTCGTCGGTATAGACCGATTGCTCTACATTGAGTGGATCTTCATTTTCTTGGTTCTCATTATTTGGGATGTTCGTTATACGTGGTGACGCCGATCTTTCATCATCATCAGGAAACATGTCATGAACATCATCAAAAAACACTGTGTCGAACTCATTATTGTCATCGGATGATGAGTTTGCAGTATTCAAAACTGCTTCCCTCCATTCTTCTAAATCACTGCAGGAAGTGCTTTCATCATCGACGATCTTTTTTTTTTTGTTTTTTCGTTTTATTACGTTTCGTCTTAGTCTTTAATTATTCGGATAAGTCCTCCACTGTTACACCTTTACCTGGAATAACTGCCACCTTTTTTTTCTTCGGGGCTGTGCTGCATTCTTTTGTTCGCATATCTTCGTGATACATTTTAAACGTTTCTAACCATTGCTGAGATGCATTATTATGGATTTCTGGATCTTCCTGTGTAGGCAATCTATCTAAGACTCTTTTTTCATTAATTGGATATATCCCAGCTGCTTCAAATCCGGACTTCAAATTTTTTCCCATATTTTCTATATTATCCAGAGTTTGCTTCAAAAGCCTCGGAAAAACATGCTTCGGCATTACTCCTCTATTTTTTTCCTTCCAAGACAGCAGAACAGACCTCCATTTTATTTTTAATGGTCGAAACACTGCTACATCGAGGGGTTGGCACAACCCCGTACTATTTGCCGGTAAACAAACAAATTTAATATTATAGTCAGTACACTTTTGTATCACATCTAATGAGAAATGACTGCTCAGATTGTCACCAATTACAACCACGGGTCCTCTGCCATTAAACGATTCAACATAAGGAATAATGACCTTCAAAAACCAATCCTCAAATATTGTAGTGTCAAACCATCCACTCCGAGATCGGTTGTAAACTGTATTTGGAGGTCCTCCTTCCGTCCAAGTATTATATAAATGTTCCGCTTTATAAACGACGTACGGTGGAAGCAGAACACCTGACGCTGTCCCAGCAAACATTACGGAGGTATTTGATTTTGATGAGTCAATGATTTTATGAGCATGCTTGATACCTCGACGTACCAACAGTTTCTGGCGTCCCGGGTCATCAGACATATTAGTCTCGTCAAAATTTACTATTGCAGCCGGATCTACATCCTCCAAGGTGGTTTTTAATTCTTGGAAGTATGATTTTAATGTCTCCTGCGTAACTCCAGCTCTTTGGCGTTTAATATTTTCTGAGAGCCTTACAGATAAAGTGCTTTTATGGCGCCGTAGAAAACCTTCCAGCCAATATCGTCCCGGTAAGTTACCTTTGAAACGTGTCTCATTTAGACCTAGCCTATCTAGATGTGATTTCACGAGTAAAGATAGGTCTAAACCTGATAGTGGATATCCCCAAGCAGCAGCTGTAATGATTGATTGCACAAAGACTTCCTCCAGAACTTCACTGAAAACTTTAGGACGACCGACTTTGTTTAATTGTAGCCTTCGATTTTTTCTCTTTAAAGTTGCTCGAGGTATTTTAAATTTTTCTTCCGCTTCCCTCAAAGTCATGCCAGTGTCAACTGCTGCCATAGCAGCTTTCAAAGTGTCCTCACTATAATTTCGGTAGGGTTTCGCCCCGAGAACTCTTCGGCTTCGCGAAGACATAATTACTGAAACAAAAAAAAAAATAATGTATCATCAATAATTATCATAATTACTTGAAATTGAACCACTAACGATTTGAATAAAATTTGAGACATATGCACCTAATTTGACTCATAAGCACCTAATTTGAGACATGGTCTCAGTTTTCCATCATAAAAATAAAATGCGTCCAGTTTGAGGAAATTTTAAATTTATTCTGGCAACATTTAACAAATAGTCTAAAACATGGAGTTTTTTTTTGTCTATGGGAACATGCTTCACAAGATGGGATTGATTAATCGATTTAAATCACAGTACTTATTAGTCAATTATCAGAGTTCTGAGGTATATGTAGTACAACAATATATTTCACAAACAAATTAATGTCTATTTCTCAAAAAATACTACTTACCTGGTAAAAAATCCTTCACGACAGCAAGTATGGAACCTCACACAACAAATTTGAAACTGAACTGTCAGTGTTGCCAAAATAATAATGATACTACATGTAATAATATATGCCATGGAAGTTTAGTCTCAGTTTACCTTCGAGTCTCATGTTGTACGCATTTACGGAAAGTAATATTATTTTAAATGACGCTATTAAAATGCGTCGTTAAGACGCGTCTATTAAAATGACGCTAGTAATTAATTTATTTGTATTTGTTAATCAATAATATAATATGTTTATCAATAATAATATACTACGAAAGGAACTTCGTTCCAACCGAGTGTTCCACCACACTCACACATGTTTTTTTTTTTTATTATCACGCAAATTTTAGAAATATCCACAAAAATATTTACAACAAAATGACATCAAGAACCCCACGCTTTTTTACAATAAAATGAGTTTTTTATGTTAATCACTATTTTCTTATTTTAAACTTATTGAAAATTATTTTCTACTTTTTATTTGTATAATCTACAAAGGCGTGTTTCTTTAGTTTTTTTAAACTATTATTTATTTTTTATTTTTTAGTCCGGCTAACTGCAAAAGCGCGTCTTGTTGGAACGAAGTTCTTTTACGCGGCTTACAGTAGATTGAACTGGCAGAAATCGTAGTTGCTTTAGGAATTATTCGTAAATCCCCCACAGGACTTGCGAATAAATAGGCAAGGATAATGAGTCAAACTATTTAAATTATTGCATTGTCATCGGTCCTTGATAAGTGTGCGAAGTTTCAAATCAATCCGACGTTAGGAAGGGGATGAAAATCACATTCAAAAATTCCGTTACATGGATACATAGATACATACCAAGCTAATAAATGTGTGTTAAAAAGAGTCTCCGGTTGATGGCACTCACCATAGGATACGTAGCAGAATTTCATACTTGAGCAAGTGTGATACTTCCTTGGTCGAGCCAATCTATTTGCGGCTACGATACAGCTCCAGTATGGGTAAATCACGTCACGGGCTATGTTTCGCAAGACAATCTACATTGAGCACGTTGTAACGCCTTTGCGATAAGATTGGAGCTAGACTAGAATGCAGTTTGATAGATATGAGTCAGACACAATACAACCAAAATCGCCAGTTTTTTATGCGCTTCTAATCGGATTCGTATCTCGGACCCGCAACGTAATTACCAGGTTACCTTAGTATCAAACTTACGTACCAAAGCCTTATATTCATTTATTTTCATTTAATTTCATTTTCTTTCATTGATTGAGATCAATTGCTTAATTGTAAATTTCATCTTTTATTCTGTGTTTGTTTTTAAAAATCACGGGATGATTTCTGCTTTTTGCTTGACCTGCTCTGACTCGATAGTTGCGATTAGATAGTTATCCAGGACTATTTATTTCTCCTGTTTTAAGGAAAAATAACCATAAGAATAAAATTTGAGAAGGAATGCATTTGGATATAAACAATTATTAAATTTCTTGCTATCTTGCCCTAACTCATCGTCGTTATTATAAAATGATCCGCTTAAAAGTCGGTTCACCAAGAGGGGGTGTATCCAGAACTCAATTATGTCTCCTACGTTATTGTATGTATAATAACAGTGCCAAAAGCTGACGGCCATTGAGAGGACACATAATGAAACATGTAAGTGCTGTGAGTAAAATAGCGCCAGAATATTCACAACTTTTAAATCTGAAGTGTACAAGCGACTACTATAAATTTTACATTTGGATTGGATGCATTGTACTTTTACTTTTGAATTTAATCCGACTTTTCTAGAAAATTTGAATCGACTTTTTTGAATTTGATCCGAGTTTTCTAGACTTGTGCACTTGTTGACGAGAAAACTCGGATCAAATTCAAATGCAATTACACGGAATCGGGTTCGGCCCGTATTTACTGATATGTTTTAGGTGTAAAATGGAAAATTATTTTGTTCTTGAGTAGATTATCTATGGCCACAGCATTCACTCACCATTAAGTCGTTTGTTATCCTTAATCTATAAAAAAAGAAACATTGAGTGTACTGGCTGTTTGGTAGTAAAATAAGTAAGAGATGACACCCATCCAAACGGACTAGGATATTAGTAAAGAAAGCAGCCTTGCCACTTAATAAATTAAACTTAAATGAAATGCTTAAAACACAGAGAAGTGTTATCTCCTATTATGTATTGGTGGCCCATTTGTTAGCTAGAGTTAGAGTTCACTTAATGAATAATGATTTGTCTTAACTAATTTCGCTCACGGCGACAAGTAAGAAAGTTTTGGGAATCTGTCAACGCTACAGATAAAATAATGTAATACCCCAAATGTATTGAGAAACACGGACAAGGCAATCACTCAAACTTTTCTAGTTATAAAATTAGGTAAATAGTGCGTTGAAGTAATTAATAAACAATAACACCAACTTAAACTGCACGTAGTATTCTGACATCACATGCAACAATGAAAATGCAAAATAGAACACTATTGACATAAATAAATAAGGCACATAATGCTTATGTAAATGACTATGCACCTATTTCTCGAACAAACTAAAATTTACACATATTCAACGTCTTGTACTTCATAAACATAATATTTGCTTCGTGCGAATTATTATTACGATTTTTTAAAAGGTTGACCTTACGAATTATTACTTATATTTCTTTATGAAACTGAAGTGACAAGTAAACTTGCAGCTCACCTTAAGGTACTGAACACCTGCAGACAATTTTAAACAAAAAAGGCTACAGAATGCGATGTCATCTTTGAGAACTAAGATAGAATGCCTCACAGCCTCTATAACTTTGAGACTGAAACTAGAATCTTTGGAATTTGTAGTGTTTGGCGGCAGAAATAGGTAAGAAAATTCCATACTATAATTTTCTACCGTATTCTGGAGACGTTATTCATACACATTAAACAACGACTCAGACTCTAATAAATTTGTAATATGGCTACAAAAATTTGTTCCGTATAGGATTCGAACCCACCGTTCCACAGAATCCTAGCAAATAGTTTAGCAAGTGCGCAACCTAGCCCTCGAATAGCGATATAAACCTAGAATATTTCTCATTTCTTATTTGAAAAGAAACAGGCAGCGATATTAATGTTACTGGAACTTTTTACTGCTTAGACCATAGAATATTATAATACGTATAGTATTCCATGGCTTAAACCCCCAAACGCATACCCACATGACGGTCTGATGTGGCCACTCCTATCCTATATAGTATATTATCTATGGCCACTCCGGTGGAGTCCGTTGCGCAAGGTGGCCGCGACGAAAGACGCGACCGACGCTGGTGTGGCCACTGATGTGTGCGTGTTTTTTATATTTATATGATGTTGCTTAAATTATCCACAGACAGCCATACACATTTCATTTATTCTTAGATTATCCATATATAATTATTGTGAGCAGCATTAAACATAAGACTGTTTTTCTGTGATTAAATAAAACTTTTAAGTATCTATATATTGAATAAGGGTGACAAACGAGTACACAGTCCATCTGATTGTTAGTGGTTACTGTGGCCCATAGGCATCTTCATATATCTTCGATTAAGCATCAAATCGCAAAAGTGTTGCCACCCCTGAGGACTATGACGGAATGCCTCGTTTCCGGTAAAAAAGGCCGGCAACGCATCTGCTATTCCCCTGGTGTTGCGGTTGTTCATGGGCGGCGGTAGTCACTTACCATTAGGTGAAGCGCATGCTGTTTGCCCCCTCTTCTATAAAATAAAAAAATAAAAAAGGATCTCCGGTTCCCTCGCTCCCATTCACTCACCATACGAAACACCGCAGCATTGAGCTGCTATTTTACGCTGACATTCTGTGAGAGCGTACCTTCCCCAGTTAAATTATTCGTGCTACGACCATAATTAAGCAGCAACGTCGCTCTACCGCGAGAAAAAAGTAAATTTTAAACATCTTACGTACATGTAATTGTTTTCCCGAAAGAAACTATTTTAACAACAATAATATTGCGACATGCTGGCGGAAGGCGTGGGCTGTCGCTGCCATAATACTGCCGAGTTTTTCTACAAGATTCGTGCCAATTCCATAAAATATTTTTAACGTTTTATTGAAGCTGTACAGGTCTAATTTTTCTGGCCATTATAACAAAAACGAGTCGTTACATAATATTTTTAAAATCACATATTATATTACCGCTTCTACTTTAAACACACATCTACACTGTCGAGGGAAATTTCACGTTTATAAGCATTACTTTAAAATATTTAGAATATGAAAAAAAAATTAATGTTAATTTGGAATATGATAAACGCCACCACGGCTGTGCCACGACTCCGGAGTAACGCCACTGTGGAGGACGGAATGACGGCTAATAATTTTCTGCTGACCAGATGTCGCTAGTTGACACTGAGGTAAAGATTTTTGTTACGCAATATAATTTATTATCAGTTTCTAGAGTATTATATTAATACACAAAACAATGCGTCTGTGGTTTGCTCTTTAATTTTTTTTCACATTTTTAAATTTTTTTAATTTTTCTAGTTTTGTTAATATCTGTGTTTTGGTTCGTTTATTTTTAATCTTATTAATATAAACTATAGCTAATAGTACAGAAAGAAACAATAACCTTTACATTTTCCGAACAAATTA